AAAAGCATGATCTGATCAGATCCCAAAGTGGATTATTATTTTAAAAACCAGATGGCATCGCTCTGGGGAGGCAAGTTCAGGAAGGTCATGTTAGCAAAGGACATAACAATAACAGCAAAATAAAAATTCCCCAAATGCAGGAGGAAAATGGAAACTGGGAAAGCTTTCACAACTGGGTGATTAGGCAGTTGAGCATGTTCGCAACACCTCCCATCTATATCTGGGAACACAAAAATTGACTGGGCTAAGGCTGCATTTTTAAGGGAAATATGAAAAACTGAGAGCAAAACAAAAGACACGGTTAAAAGGCAACTAGAACTTTGTGAGCCTTCAAAACAGCAGTGCCCCTTGGCAGGGACCCTGAGGCATTTGCCTTTAGGAAGGCCAGTTTTCTTAAGGAATCTTAAGAAACTCTTGAAAGATCATGAATTTTAATCATTTTAGGTATAAAACAAATATGCGATGCATAATCAGTTTAGACATGAGTCACAATTTTATAAAGTCAGGCATAAAAGGATACTGTGTCCCAGCTCCGGATAGGTTAGAAATCATTAGAAATCACTGTCTCCCCTTCCTCACTTTTTCAGAATGATCTGTCATGGCCCTCACACACAGGCCCGATGTGTCTGACCTACAACCAAGTCTACAACCCAAGAGTCTCAACCATTGTTAACATGTCATCTCAGTAGGTCCCATTACAAATGCCACCTCCCCTGTGCATCCATCCCGCTCCACAGGAAGTCTCCCCACTCTAGATTTCTGCCTCACAATGTTACAGCCAGAAGCTCCATGGGGGTGAGGGTCTGTGTCTTACATATACCCGTATGCTCTACATCTCGGCTCACTACAACCTCTGCCTCCCTGGTTCAAGCAATTCTCCTGTCTCAGCCCCCCAAGTAGCTGGGACTACAGGCACACGTCCAGATAATTTTTGTATTGTTAGTAGAGATGGGGTTTCACCATATTGGTCAGGCTGGTCTTGAACTCCTGACCACAGGTGATCCACCCACCTCAGCCTCCTAAAGTACTGGGATTACAGGTGTGAGTCACTGCGCCCAGCCGAGGGTGGGTGTTTAATAATGAATGGCTTGAATGGTTTACTAAACCAACAGGGAAACAGCCAAAAGCTGTGATAATTTCAGGGATTCCTGGGATGGGGAATGGTGCCATGAGCTGCCGTGCCGAGTCCAAGACCACTGGTCCTCATCACTTCCTTCCCTCAGCCTCATTTTCAGGCTAAGTTACCATTTTATTCACCATGCTTTTGTGGTAAGCCTCCACATCATTACTGAAATAAGAGTATACATAAACTAGTTCCATTCAGGGCCATCTGTGTGTGTGTTTAGGGGAGGAGGGTGTACCCCAGAGACTCCTTGAAGCCCCCAGCAGAGGTTTCCTCTCCAGCTGGGAGAGCCCTGCAAGTACCCGGGGTCCTGGGTGTCCGGAACAAACTGCCAGCCAGCGCCACTGGTTGTTTCGGTTTCACTCTTCGGGGGCCTGTTGCTTTCTATTTCTGTGTGACCCATTCATTCATCCAGGCATTCATTGACAATTTATTGAGTATTTATAGCTGCCAGACACCAGAGACAAAATGGTGAGCAAAGCAGTCACTGCCCTACCTTCGTGGAGGTGACAGTTTCTCATGGAAGACGTGCAGAAGAAAATTAATAGCCAGCCAACTTAAACCCAGTGCTGAAAGAAGGGAAATAACCACTACCTTGAAGAACTGTGTGCAGTATCCCTTAACAGCCACAGGGCTGCAGTTGGCCTGCCTCATGTCCCATGAATGGTCCTGGTGCATCTGAGCTGGAGACTCCTTGGCTCCAGGCTGCAGAAAGGAAATGGAGATGGAAACTAGTCTAACGGAGAATCTGGAGGGGACAGTGTTTCCTCACAGGGAAAGGGGCCTCCACGTGCAGGAGAATTCCAGGAGGTGGGGGCTACAGGGATTGGGGATGCTGGGGCTGAGCAGGTGCTAAAGGCAGGAAGGTGAAAAGGGCAAGGCTGAAGCTGCCCAGACGTTCAGTGCCGTTCACGGGGTTGGGAGTTTTCCGTTGCTTCCTGTGAGCCTTTTTTTTTTTTTCTCTCTCTTTTCTCTGCTTGGAGGAGAATACGTCTATTTCATGAAGGGATGCAGTTTCATAAAGTCAGCTGTTAGAATTCCGGGGTGTGCATGGGTTTTCCTTCACGAAGGCCTTTATTTAATGGGAATATAGGAAGCAAGCTCATTTCCTAGGCCATTCATTTATGGGAGAAGTGACTGGAGTCTTTTCTTTCATGTCTTCTGGGCAACTACTCAGCCCTTTGGTGGACTTGGCTTATGCAAGACGGTCAAAAACCTTGCAATCAGGAGACTTGGTTTTCTTTCTGGTTCGGCCATGTGTTGGCTGTGAGACCATGGGCAAGTCTCTCTCCTTCCCTGGGCCACAGTCTTCTCGGCTGTAAAGACCCTTGCAGCTGTCGTGTTCGGTGAACACTTCCCTGTGATTCTCTGTGAGGGGGGATGTTGAGAGGGGAAGGAGGCAGAGCTGGAGCAGCTGAGCCACAGGGGAGGTGGAGGGGCACAGGAAGGCAGGCAGAACCTGGGCGATCCATCAGTCCTCACTGATCACATCAGACTCCAGGACTGAGAGCCACAATGCTTCAGGAAAGCTCAATGAACCCAACAGCCACATTTTCTTTCCCTAAGCATATACAATGGCATTTGCCAAGAACCAAAAAGAATGCAGAGACTAACTGGTGGTAGCTTTTGCCTGGCATTCAAAAACTGGGCCAGAGCAAGTGGAAAATGCCAGAGATTGTTAAACTTTTCATCCTGACCAGCACCCACGCAGCTCAGCAGTGACTGCTGACAGCACGGAGTAACCTGCAGAGCAGGGGAGAAGAAAAAGAGAGGGGTAGTGTATGGGCAAAAAAGACAAAGATTCATTCAAGGGCGGTGGGAACTGACCACAGGGATTATAGGCCACATGATCCCGGGTTTTAGGAGGCAGGGCTATATTGTGGGGGGAAAAAAAATCAAGGGAAGTCAGGAGACCCAATTTCTAATACTATATTTTTCCTTTACAGAGTAATTCTGAGCAAGTCACAAGGTAGTAATTGGAGGCTCTAAGATTACTTACGTTTCTCCTTATTGGAAACTCTCTTTCTTTTAAGAGAAAGAAAACATTCCTATGAGTAAAGCCAAACAGATTCAAGCCTAGATCTTGCTGACTATATGATTGGTTTTTTGAAAAATCATTTCGGCGATGTTCACTACCTGATTCAGAAAGTGAGAATAGTACCCTTTGGTCAGCTGTAAACAGACACCCATTTGTAAATGTCTCAAGTTTAGGCTTAGCTTCAGAACCAATCAAATAAGAATAGAATCTTTAGAGCAAACTGTGTTTCTCCATTCTGGAGGTGAGTCGGCCAGGGCAGATTGGAAATATTTACTTCACAAGTATTGACATTATTGTTGGTATTAACAACATGCAGTTGCTCAAATGCAAGCATTATTTTAAGTGGCTTAAAGTTACTTCCCACAGTTTTGGTATATTTATCGGCTATTGCCATTTGCTTTTGGTTTTTCTCTTTGGGTTTATTAATGTAAAGCAGGGATTATTAACCTACAGTCCAGAAAGCCTGTGAATTTGAATGGGGAAAAAATTACATTTTTATTTTTACCACCTTCTAACTAAATTTAACATTTTATTTCATTGTGAATAAAGCCATAAAGTCAAAGAGGTAATAACAGTACCTGTGATTTTGTCATTACTGATAGAAATCACAGACATTTTACACTACATTACAGTTGTTGCAGATACGTTGTAAGTGAAATATCATTTACACTAAAAACTGCTTTGAAATTAGACCTCCTGCTGGATCTTGTTTTTAACGTGTTAACAAAACATATGTTTATTTTAAATTTTTAGTATTTTGATAATTATATTTCATTATCATTTGTTTCCTTTATAATCTATATTTTATATATTTAAAAACATCTTTCTGAGACGGGTCCCCCAGGTTTCACCAGTGAGGTTCATGGCATGCACACACACACAGACACACATACGCATGCACACACACAGGGTAAGAACTGATTTAGAGACTAACATTGACATTGGTGCCTGAGACGCAAGACTGAAATTAGAAAGTTCTCCCAAAGATACACAGTTGTTTTAAAGCTAGGGGTGAGGGAGGAAATCTGCAGATTCCATAGGAATGCTCTCCCTGGAGCCTGGTGGGGTGCCGTCGTTGTGTTCTGGCTGGCTGTTATTTGTCTCTGTCCCTGCTACATGTCTTAAAGGACTTGTCTGGATCTCCACTTCCTAGCATAGTGCCTAGCACAGTGCCGGTTCTCAATGAGTTTGTAGAGTGAATGGAAATATACACTAGAAATATATCCTTGTTGAAATCAGCACACCGGTAGTCCTGTTGAATGAGGGGGACATGTGTAAGAGTGTGTGTGTGTGTATGTGTTTGTGTGTCTGTATATGTGTTTGTGTGTGTGTGTGTGTGTGTGTGTGTGTAAAACCAGGTGGGGACATAGGGACTATTATTGGGGTGTGGGTATATAAATTGGGATGTTCTTTTTCAAAAGAAACTCCAAACAGACTTCTGGAAGGTTATTTTCTAAGAATCTTGCTGGCAGTGTGAAGGCAACCCCCGCTGTGCACAGCCCCACCCGGCCTCACGTGGCCACCTCTCTTTTCCCTCATGAAGGGCTGGCTCCCCAGTATATATAAACCTCTCTGGAGCTCGGGCATGAGCCAGCAAGGCCACCCATCCGGACACCTCTCAGCACAGCAGAGCTTTCCAGAGGAAGCCTCACCCAGC